TCCCTTTTAGCTACAAAAAAAAACCAAAAAATAAAAATGATTTCCGCTCCTATCAATATCCAAACTTCAAACCTTTCCTTAGGAAGGCAGTTGAGGAGAGTTTTTGGGCAAATTGGATTAAACAAATCTGGTCGTTTTAAAGCCTTACATAGATTATAGACAAGAATAAGAGGAAAAAATTGAAAGTTTTTTTTTTTAAAAAAAAAGGATAATATGAGTACCACAGTCTATAACTTAAATCGAAGTTATGGATACATCCTAATCACAGATTTCTAGTGCACGTTTTGATGGGGAAGGACAACCGGTTTGCCTGGTTAAATGCAGAGTTGAATAAACTTATCTTCTTCTCCAAACCGATTTGTCAATATCTTCTTCTCACACCTCTTTCTCACAAATAACACCCATCATTTCTAATCTTTCAATTTTTTAATCTTTCACTTGGTAATTTAACAAGTCTCCAGTCGAATGATCTAATTCTTATTCTCTGTCTTTGGGGATAACGTAAATAACAGAAGATGCCAAAGAAGAACTTCTATACAATGTTGTAAAGTTAAAAAAGATCTTATATTATTTCGCAGGAAACAGTGGGGATAATTGCAACTAAGGAAGAAAATTAAAAAAAAATAGCTTAGAAAAAGTAAATCTGCAATAGAGAGGTAGTAGATGGGGCCGAGTAAGGGATGAGAGGGATCGGGGGTTGGTAGCATGGGTTTTATCTGATTATCTCTAAGGAATGAGATGGGGCGGAATTTAAGATAGTGGGCTAGGGATGGAGGATGGAGTTAGTGGTGGGGTTATTGGGCAAGAAGGTTTTGTGGGAGAAAGGTTGTGAAGCAGCAAATGTGATGATGGAGTTTGACAGGGGTTCTTTTGATAAATTTGGATTAATTGAAGGATTCTTCAAAAGTTAACACCTACGTCTGTGAACCATGGCTAGTTAACTTTTTTTTTTTTGCTTCTACTTTTGTCGATGGAAAATTCTAAGACACTATACTAGGGGAAAGGGTTAGAGAAGAACGTAAGTTAGAAAATTTGATCCCCTAACCAAGGAAAGAAGTGAATCTAAGAGGGTCAAAGATATATTCTAAGACTCTATACAAGGAGGATGGGTTGGAGGAGTAGAATCGTCACCGAATCAAACGGATGCATATGTATCTGATGATAAAAGGATGACCTGCCTTTTTCAAGGACCACACCGTCTGGGTTCAAGAAAGAATTTGTCTATTCTAGTGGGTAGGTGCCGTATTTCGGACCCAGCTGGTACAGATATGCTACAACCCAAAAAGAGCGGTTTGCCTAAGTATGAATTGACTTGCCGACAGATATAGTTGACAATGGGCGGGAAGATCGCCAAAGAAAATAGATACAAAGTGTTAAAACATGGCAAATTTGCATATCCAACTTCACTTCGTAGCATTATTCTTCCTTTCTAGTCTTAACACTTCACTTAGTTTTTGTGACAAAACTAATTACTATAATTTAAAAAAACCATTATGATTTTTTGGCAGAATTTACCATTTTTTTTCTTTAATATTGACTCACTAGATTAATCTTTTATACAACTTCAACGTAAGTGTTTTTTTTTACATGATTATATCTTCACATTTCATCACAAAAATTAGGATGATGAGTAATAATTTTTTCCCTAAACCTGGTATTTGCTAACAAATCATCAACTTGATAAATACCAATTTTTGGAACAAATTTTCCCACTATTGCTATCATTGGCTTCTTCCATGTGGAATGACTCTTCATTATTGGTCTTCCCCTTGTAGTATCTATGTCTGTCGAGTTAAACTTATAATCACTACAAGAAAATTGGTCATCAGTGACAACTTTTCTCTGTGACGAAAAAAAGTTGTCACAAAAGGGGATCCTTTATTGACAACTTTCTAACTCGTCACAAACCTATAATGGGAGCCAACTCATTTGTGACGACTTAGAAAAGTCGTCACTAGTAAATTCCCGCCAAGATTTAGCAAGAGCGCGGGAGTGTTTAGAACACACAATAGTGACGACATTAAGAACATCATCACTATTGCTTGGCCTAATTACGGACGACTTTTTGTTGTCGTCACTGATCACTAAAAAAAAAAGTTATTAGTGACAACATTTTGTAGTGATGACAATAAGTCGTCACAAAAGGAGCTTCTTTAGTCGCGATACCTAAAGTTGTCACAATTACATCAATGTAACTAAATGTTTAGTGACGACCCGTTATTTTCGTCACAAACTACACTGCAAGAAATATGGTCATTAGTGACAACATTTTCTAGTGACGACAAAAGTTGTCACAAAACGTGGTTGTTTAGTGACGACAAGGAAAGTTGTCATAATTGCTTAAAGCAACTAAGTCTTCAGTGACGACCTTGAAAAACGTTGTCACTAAAATGATCTATATAGTGACAACTTCTAATATCGTCACTGTCACTCTACCGATTCGAATTTAGTGACAAGAATTAATCGTCACTGTTTAAAGTACATATTTCTAAGTCACTTTCATTAATTCTACTGTGCCACCCTAACTTTTGCGATTTAGCCCTAAATGTTGTAAAAAATTCCATTAATTCCATTATGATACCTTAACTTTTACAATTTAGCCCCATATGTAGTACACCAATTTCTTTAATTCTATTATTACTCCCTAACTTTTGTAAATTAGCCCCATATGTAATTCACCAATTTCATTAATTCTACTATGGCACTCTAACTTTTGCAATTTAACCCCCATATGTAATACACCAATTTTATTATTTCTATTATGGCACCCTAGTTTTTACAATTTAGCCCCTATTTTTTTATTAGGAAATTGCGAATGGTATCTTGATAAACTATGCATAAATATTTTATAATTTTCTCAAACTTAAGTAATAATTTGTTATAAACTCTAAAGATACATCTTTCATTATAATAGTTATAAGGCAGGCAGGTCTTTTTATCAATGGAATAAGAAATTTATGCCAGATTTATCCTTTGTACTACATGCCAAGTAGTATTAGCAAAGGAATAACAAAGTACTACAAAGTAATTAACAAAATAGCCTTCAGGGAGTGTAGTTTATGGGCAAATGAGCATTATCTATTCAAAGTACCAACTTTTTATGGGCATTTTACTCTCAAACATATAATTTATGATAAATTTATAAATTTTTGTAAGAAAAATTCAAAAAATGTTACACTGATTTCTTACAAAACGAAAACTGGCAGGTTATCTTTTCAACATAAATTAAATTTTTTTAAAAAAAGAAATGTCCCATAAAGTACCAACTCTTTGTGGGTTTCTTCCATTACATGAACAAATATTCTGCTCTTTATGGGCATTTCACTCTAAATCATTTAATTTATGTTAAATACATAAATGTTTGTAAGTAAAATTCAAAAAGTGTTGCACTAATATTTTTATGAAAGGGAAACTGGTAGGTTTTGTATTTAACATAAATTAAATATGTGAAAGCAAAAAAAAAAAAGAAATTACCCATAAATCTATGTCTTGCAAATCTATACTAGTAAAATAGTTTCAAACAAAATTAAACATTAAAATAAACTGTAATTTATACACATTAAAATATCTGTAATTTATACACATTTTGCAACTACTACTTTGTGTTTTCTCTGTAATGAATTTTTTAACTATTGAGAACTTAAGTTTTGTCTTGCAAATCTATACTAGTACAATAGTTTTAAACAAAATTAAACATTAAAATAAATGTTTGAAAAAGAACAAAAGTACATTTATCACTTGCAGTAATGTAACAAAATTTTCTCAACCATTATCAATATTTTCACAAAAGTATTAAAAACTAGCAATTGACAATATTAAAAACTAGCAATTTAATTAGTGACGACTTTTCTTGTCATTATAATCTTGAATAAATTAGTGATAACATTATGTCATCACTAAATTTTCTTTGATTTTGACTTAACAATAATGTCTTATTAATAGCATTTGATTATTTTTAATGAAAGTCTGTTATAACCATAGAATTTGACTTTCGTTATTTTCAATTAATGATGTACTTTAGTGCTGCAATTATAAAAAATTGCAGGGCTAAAATATTTGCAAATTATAAAAGTATATTTTCACTTATATGTAATTAACAAATTTTGCCACCTATATTGATGAAAATTTGTGTTTTTGTACTAAAAAATAAAGAATAATACTATAGCAATAAAATCTATGCTTCAAACCAAATTAAAAATAAAAAAAAGCATGATGATTGGTCTCAAATGTTGGGAAAATGATTATTTTTATTGAAACTATGTTATAACCATATAATTTGAGTTTAATTATTTTCAATTACATTGTAGACACCAAATTTTTGATTTTTTAACTTTATTTGTTTAATTAATTTAATAGGTTTATTTGTTTCAATTCTAGGGTTTTTTTATTTTTTATTTTATTTTTGTTCTGGTTTATTTTATTTTTTGTCTTCATATTAAATTTCAGAAAACAAAGAAAAAAAGTGAAAAAAAGCGAAAAGAAAAAAAAAGGAGTGAAAGTGACAAGTGGGGAGACATGCATTGGACAAGTGTCTCTTTTATGTTAGGGACACTTGGTAAGTTTAAGGAATTTTTGGGGGAAAAAATGAAAAAAGGAAAAAAGGAAAAGATGGAGTTTTTAGGGCCAAAGGAGAAAGAGAGCAAGGAGAGGCTTCGGACACAGAAACAAAAGGGGGAAAGAAAGCTAAGCAAAGGGAGCAGAGGGAGAAAAACAGAGAGGGGCGGCTAGGTTTTGGGCATGAAAGCTTCGGCGAACTGGGAAAGAAAGAAAAAAGAAGAAGAGCGCGAGGGATAAAAAGGAAAAGCAGAGGGAAAAGAGGAACCAAGCGGCGGGCTGAGCAAAAAATGGAGGAAACAAGCAACGAAAAAAACACACAAAAGGGAAATGGGGGTTTCAGCTTCAATCATCCGATAAAAATTTTTCCAATCACCGCTGCCAAATTTCCCACCACCTTAACCGGCTGCCGGCTGCCACCATTCTCTTTCCACCCTCTGTCCCCCCAATTTCCCCAAACGAATCCTCCACAAAAACCCCTCATTTCCCATTCTGCTCCTCCCCACTTCTAATACAAGCCTTTTCTGCCAACGCCTCCACCACAGCCCTTCCCCTTTACCGCCGTCTCTGTCCGCGCCAAGCCCAAAAAAAAAAACTCATCCTCAGCAACCTTTCTGTTCTCGGTGAAAAGGGCAAGAACAGCTACGACGTCGAGACTCTCATCAAATTCTTCTCCACCTGCTCCTCTTCCGTGGATGGCTTGAGCAGCAACAACAGCGGAGATTTCCAACTCACCGAGCCGTCACCACCCATCGGATATCCATTGCCGCCTGCGAATTTCACCAAGAAAGCCTTGTAAGTCGTCTTCCCTCTTTGAACTTCAGTTCCCATTCAAGCACAAACGTCTGAGCTCCCAAAGCATGTTTTCCGTGTCTCTGTTAGTACAATTTTCTTGTTGATTGTTTATGGTTTTAGAATATACAGGCTCTAGGTGTCGATTGGACTGATTTATCTCGTGTTTATAACAAATTTTGGGCTAGTCATAACCTCAATTGAGCACAATATGCTGAAGTTTTTCACGCCCATTTAGTGTTTGATAAAATGCCCGAACGGAAATCTTGAACCAAAAGAGGAGATTTTATGTTTTTTTAATTTGAGAGAGACTCTGGCCAGTCCAAAGCATATATTTTTCCAAATATGGAATCAATGTCCCCTTGTGTCGAGAAATTTGATTTTATTTGACAAAACAATTGGGAAAATAGTTTTTTTTCTCTAGCTATTTATCAAGAAAGAGCATAACATACTATTCACTGATTTTGAGTTTTCAACATCATTCGTATGTTAATATGAAGCTTCATATATAAGGTAAATATGCAAATCCACCGCTGGAGAGAATTCGACATGCTACTTTTCGGTTTTCTTGGTCAATCTTGTTTTCTTTCCGTGAATGAGAGTATATAGCCATGAGAAGTGAAACATAAGATGTTCCCAATGTTGCCTCCAAAGAGGTGATCTATGCGGATGACTAACCACCTTTCTTTAGAAGTTCATTTTCATCCTTTGAAATGTAATTTGTCATTTGAAGTATCTAAAAGTTACCCAATAAAGCCATATATTTGAAATTGTCTCTAAAGCACTATTCAGTAGGCCTATTTGTGAGCAACTGTTGAGTGTTTCCTAAAACATGCCAAAATTGGCTCTTCAACTATTTTGTACTTGTGTAGGTGATGCTGTTCAGTTGACAATTCTAAGATCTTTTCCTTTTGCTGCTTTTTCTTTTTCTTCATATTTTCAACCTTGTGACATCTTTTGATTGTTCTTTTGTGAAACTGGAATCTGGTCTTGATTGTGTTACCTCACCTGAGGGCATATATTTGACCGTTTCACAAAACTTGCCAAAATTGCCCCTTAAATTGTTTTGAACTTGGGGCTGCTGTTCAGTTGACAATACTAAGATATACTCCACTTTGGCTCCTTTTTGCTTTTCTAATTTTAAATTTAAATTTTTTCCTTTTCAACTTTTTTCATATCACTTGCATTCTGGTCTTGCTGTGTTACCTGGGAAAATTAACTTTGGTCTCTTGAATACTTTCAACCTTTTCAAATTAACTCTGGTCTTGCCTAATTCAAATTCATAGTGAAGCTGATGATGATGAATGTAACATCTCTAAGTAAGTAACCCAGGTAATTTATGCACAGAAACACTAAACTTGATAATACAACGTATAAATTTAATACAGCACAGTTAGATTTGTTCATTAACTTCTTCGGATTAACGGAATTTGCATTTTATATGAATGGAATGGTATCACCACCTGTAACCAAATTAACTGAAGTTGTTTACTGAGTTTAAAAGGTTAAATACATTGTGAGCTGCAGCCTTTTTACCTTGAGCTTCTCTTAGTACAATTGGAAATCTAGTGTTGATGTATTCTTGTAACACAATAAATGTGTTACCAAACACCTGATTGAGCGGAATCAGATAACTATTGCGTGTTTGTCGGTATATTTGCTCCACTCAGTAAATGATGCCGGTAAAGGAAGTTGGCTACAGCTGTTATGATCATTAAAGCCTTCCATTTTCTAAAGGACAGAGCTATAAATTTACCACAGACCTGCATAGACAATATCTCAGTCTCTCTTTCTCTTTCAGTGTCTATATTTTTTATTATGAACATTTATATTTAAAGCCTGGTTCGTCATCATAATCCCTTCAGTAAGTAATTGAACCTCAATAAGATTTTAAGGTCACCAGACATATTTTTAAAGTAAAACTTGTTCTTTAGCTTCCCTAATGCAGCAGAAAAAGAAGACAAATTTGACATGTTACAGCCATGGTTTTCCTTTAATGGTGGGTTTTATTTTTTAATTGGGTAATTGAGTTATGTATTTTTTGCAGGAAATCTGCCTAGGAAATATTCAACCTTTGAATGGTTCAATTGGTTCATCCAGGAATTTTCAGCTGTTCGATCTGGTCGAATGCAAACTCAGAGAAGACTAAAAGTCTATGAAACTTGGTGAAAGCCAGCGAAGAAATTGACTAGAAACCAGTCTAGTTTGGCCGAGGTTTTCTATTGGTGCCCTCGATTATATTTGTTCTCTTTTGATGGAGTCCTTGATTTATCAATAGAGAGGTAAAAATCTGATTGTTCATCTGCAATAGTATATTATTTCCAAGTACAAGCGACAGACCATGCATGGATAGCAATCTTCTTTTTGCCTATGTAGTGACTTGAAAGAAATGAGTATAATGCAAAGGGGGCGTTTGTGAACTTTGATTGGTTTCACCTGTTTAGATGGTCTTCACTTTCACATTGTGAGGCAAATAGCTCATTCTCTTTGCACAGTTTAATCCTACAGAGGCATCGTTTCCTTCATGATTTATGAAGCATAAACTCCTAAAAGCAAAGAGGGCTAGTACCTCCTGTATTCACACCTCGTACAATAAGTTGCTTTCTGTGTTTTAATATATAAACAACCAAAAGCATAAAGATTAAACAATAATTACTGTGGGAGTCCAATTTAATTGTTCAATAAGTTGAGCTATTTAAAGAAGAAGAAAGAAAATAAAAAAAAACTGTTTTAGAGAGCTCTTTAGTTGAGCTTATGCAGTGTTGTATTTGTATAGATTGGACTGTGATTTCTAACTTCTTGCTGGTGTTGTAATATGTGGGTCCAAATTATATGAGGTTCTTAATGAATTGTAATTTTTGTCTTAATAATCTAAGTCTCATTACTTGTTCTTTATTATTGTACTCCTCCCCTTACCTACTTCTTTTACTCTTTTATGACAGATAAATGCTATTCATACTAGCTTTTGGAAGATATCTATGGTTACGGTTGAAGAATGTTGAAGACAAAATTGCCTTTTGCTCATGGAGTGGTTCATTTAGATGTTCTTCAATTTCTTAAATTGTGATTGCTTTTGTAAATGTACCTTATGTACAAGTGATATTTTGGACAAATGTTATTTTTGTAGGCATTAGTTGGGTAATGTACACTTGAATTTGGCATTTGAGAATGCTATATTATTACCATGTAATCTAATGCAAATACTTTTGGTTATCAATCGTTCATGTTTATTTGTATGATTTGTTTAAAATCAATGATTTAGCAATGATTACAGGCCAAATTATGACTATTAAGCTATTGAGAAATTATCTAATGACAAAAAAAAGTTGTCATAAAATAGAAAATAAAAACTCCTTGTCACAACAGAGACTGTCACTAAATCTAAGCTAAATTTGTGATGACAATTGTTGTCAGTAAAATAGTTATATACAATGGCTTTCGGTGCTTTTTAGTGACGACCTTAAGTAGAGCATTTTTGACAAAAGGTCAATTCGTCAATAAAACACTTCCGAATTGTTGTCACTAATGACTACTATTTAGTGATGACATTTCAGGTCGTCACTAAATAGTTGTCATTAGTGACGACAATCTGGAAGTGTTTTATTGACGACTTGATCTTTTGTCAAAAATGCTCTACTTAAAGTCGTCACTAATGAGAACTATTTAGTGACGACATTTTAGGTCGTCACTGTTTACTTTTACCGACGGGGATTTAGTGACGACTTTGTGACGATCAAAAAGTCGTCAATAAAAGGTGTTTGTGACGATATTTGTATGTTCTGTGATGACTTTGTGTTGTCACTGATGAACAATTTTCTTGTAGTGAATTAAAGTAGGTGACAGCTAACAAACTAACAAAAATATTAATCACAAAAAGTAAAAGGTTAATCACTAAAACAAGGGTTAATTCCAATAAAGCCCTAAAAAAAAACTCTTTTCAGAACTTGCCTCGAAGGTTTAATTGTACCAATCCATCCTTTATAATTCCAATATTCCCAAAGGCGTAATAACATATTAGTTTGGTAATGATATGGGCTGACAAAAATGAACGTGTACTAAATGTTTTAATAATGCAAAGATTTGTTGGATAATAGATGATTTAACGCGTAGAAAGCACTAAGATATCTTTTTCTTTACAAATGTCAAGATGGACTACCTAGAATAAATGTGTAATGAAGTATTAGGAAAAGTTTGGTCACTTCACAGAATCACATGAGCTGCACATGACCAAATCAACTATAAATTGGACTGTCCAACCTGATTGCACTTAATTGGGAGTATTATTAATAGTATAAGAGGTGCAAGGGTACAATTAAATCTTTAGGGGCAAAGTGAGAAAATAGTATTATTTGAGGAGGTTCATTGGAATTAACCCTTAAAACAAAAACAATGACTTATAAATTCGATGATTAATTGGAAAATACCACATAAAGACACTAACAAATTTATCAGTTAGTTAAGTTAGAGTAAATTAGTTATTTATTATAAATGACAAATTCAAAATCACAATAGAAAGGAGTTAATAAAGTTTTTTACGACATGGAACTAATACTTAGTTAGTTTATAATTAAATGATGTTGATTCTAGAGAGCGGAGATATGACTTCTAAACTATTTTGGTTGGAAGATGGACAGCAAATTGGTAAAATAGTAGGTTATAGAATATAGTACTGAATTAGCTATATATAGCATACGCAGTAGGTGGAGTTATTTACAAACCATCGACAGATATAATTGGAAATTTTGTCTGATTATTTGATTGTTGTACTTTTTTTATAATATAATGTATGTTTATATAACTTTGATGTATTTTTAAATTTTATTTGTGTACACCAACTTAATTTGTAAATACAACTGCATCAGTGAGTACACACCATATATTGTGGATAAAACACAACAATAGCATTAAATCGTACCTAATCTAATCATCCTACCTAGATCCCACTATTTACAAAGGGCAAAAATTAATGCAAAACTATAGTTGTCAGATTTTGTTAGTACATACAAGAGTTTCTCGTGGGCAATAGGCCCTACTACGCTCAGACTACATCAGCCCTTGCTTATCATCTGCTTAGTTTTGGAAGTATTGTGTTTATGTTTCCTGGACAAGATTACCTGATTTTCTATGGAGAAAATTGCACTTTAGACCTCAAAGTATCGTGTTTATGTTTCAACCAAAATAAAAGCAACCCCTAAAGTATCCAATTTCGATCAATTAATCCCTAATGTTTCGATCTAAACAAATATAGTTTCTAAAGTATAATAATTAACCAAGTTGGTTCATAATGGTTTATAAAACATAACCAAATTTAATAATATAAAAAAAATGTTTGAAAAGGTTCATCAAAGTTATAGAAAATTCTAGAAAGACCACAAAGATTTTAAAAACATTAATAAAGTATAAAGTAAAGGTAAGATATTCACTTTTGACAAAATAAAGACATTTTGTAGATATTCCATTTTTGTAATTTGTACATAAAAGTATACAAAAGTGCATATATAATTACAATACTTAATTTACTTATTAAAAAAAGTACACAAAACGTATAGAAAAGAACACATGCACTACACATGCTTTGTTCCAGTGTTAAAATTAGATTTTTTAGATTACCTTAAACTTATTTTCTAGGGTATTAAAATTTTATGATTTAACTATAAATTGTTATGACGTGTATATAAATTTCACGAATTTTGATGGATTTTTATATTATATAAATAAATTTTCTTAGATTTTATAAAGCATTAGGGACTAATTCAGTCAATTAATATACTTTAGGAATTATATTTTTTTAGATTGAAACATTAGGGATTAATTAGATTGAAATTGAATACTCTAGAGACTACATTTGTTTAATTTGAATAAAGCATTGTGGACTAGTTTGCTCCAACCCCCATACATAAAGGACTGCAAGTGCAATTTTCCCATTTTCCATGTGTGATATGTCCAACCTTGCTAAAAATAATGTGAATGGTTTTTCAAACTAGTATTCAAATTATGAGAATTATTTTTTTGGCATCTAGGTACCTACTAGAATGCCCACTCTCTTTGCTAAATGTTTGTTAAGTCCATAATCTAATCGTACAGCCGCAAAAAAGTGAGATTTGAAAAGGAAATACAACTAATAAAAACTTCTTGGGGCATTATATTTTAGTTAGTAGTTATATTTTTACAAAAATGGAGTTAAATATAATTGCAATTTCAATGACCTCTTAATTATGGCTTTAAACTATTGATTTGTGATTGGATTAAACTACACATAAGGAAAGTCTTATATTTTGTTGAAGTGGTTGTTGATTGGAGTTCTCCTCTTCTCTTTTGTGTCTATGTATACAAGTAATACAACCCCTAATCATTATCGTGCTTTATTTTAATCTGCAGTAGGCAGAAATAATTGGTGCATACTTAAAGTGATGGTGACGCTGGAGGAGCTATTTTTGGACAGAAGTGGAAATAAAGAAATAATCACATTTTTCATCTCCAAGAACTGAATTTTTTATTAACATCATCCATTCAGTTATTCTATTGAACCTTACTTTTGATGCATTAATGTTGGCTAATATATGATCCAGTCAAATTCCCTTTTTTTTGTCCTTCTTTTCTATGTATTAGGAATTGATTTTCCTTCACTTCGCGATCTTTCACAATTTAATACATCAATTACTTTATATGTTCTTTTTTGACAAATTTGATACTCCACATGGAACATGCAAATGCAGTTAGCCCTATACTTTAGGCCCACGAGTTTCATTTATACGGACGAAGCAAATTTCAAATAATCAAATGGTAGCTTTAAAAGATTTTGGATTGTTTCTTTACAACTCCCATTGCAAAGATAATTTTAGGTACTCTTCTAGCATAAGGAATGGACTAATTCCACTCGCACCTACAAACTTGTACCTCATTCTCACTTTACATTCTAAGTTTCAATTTGAACTATTTTACACTTTAATATTTCAAATTTGTTCTACTCAAATCCAATGGATAACAGTACCTAACGAAATGGAGAACCGTGCACCTAATGTGTTCTTTTAAAAAAAAAAAAAAAAAAACTTGAAGAACACAGATTGTGAAATGATCAAGGATGGAAGTTGGGGGCCGCTATCCACCCCCTAGTTCTAGGAATTGATGTTTTCTTCTGTTAAAATTTTAAAAATTTCTTATTATATGTGTGTGTATGTATATATGTATATATATAGCTATTTGCTCCCCAAAAGTTTTCAAAAGTTTTTAAGTTTTATATGTATGCATTTCGGCCCTTAAAATTAAAATTTTTTGGTTCCGTCAACGGTGATGATGGTAATACGCTACCACATTGTAGAGTGTGGCTGAGATATATGTGTGCACAGTTGTCTATTCTATCAATTTTATAAATACTATTATAGGTTATATTTAAGTTGGAGAAATTTGAGATGATAAGGTACAAAATGTCATAGGGGGAGGGTTGGGTTGAGTGGTACGGGGGAGGGAGTGTAAGCAAGAGATCTTGGGTTCGAATCCTCCCGCTTACACTAAAAAAAAAAGGTACAAAATATCATAATTTGATGTTTAGAAAGTAAAACAAATGACATATAAGTTTGAGGGTGTAAAATAGAATTAGTGCTTTGGAATATTTTGATTTAAACCAAATTAAATGGAAAGAAGAGGAAACACAATCATATTGATTGATTTTTTATGATCAAGCTTCAACGTCATTGCATATGTCATCTTAATTTTTTTTTGGGGCTACATGATGACTTAAGAAAGGTTTATAGTCTAGTAATATATTCTCCTCTATTGCTTTTCCTCATAAATTTATGTATATGCCTTTGTTAGTGATTTATTGCCATAATTAATTCTATACAATCTTAATTCAATTTTTTGAGTGCATTATTTCCAACATTACTTGCTCTAATATTCTGTAATGTAGGAGGTTAGTGTCCCTTGGAATTTCCATTTCTTTATGGGTTAATTACATTAATTTTTCAACCTTGAGATTTAGCCAAGTTACTAAACAAACCTTGAAGTTTTGTTAAATAACAGTCTCACCTCTTGACTATACAAACGTTTGTCCAAAAACCCCCTAACGTCTAAAGCCGTTAGAGATGCATCTGATGTCAAGAAAAAAATATTGTGCAAGCCCAAAGATGCCATTACATAGGCCTGCTCATTTTTTGTTCTGCAAATACCCCTTTGGCGTTTTATACATTGGTTACACACAAAAGTTTATCAACATG